GGCTCTAGGGATGCCACCTGGAAGCCTTCTTTACTCCTTCCTCCTGGCCCCTGGCTCACCTCACCTGGAGCTTCTTGTCTGTCCGCAGGCTACTGGGAAGTGAATGGATTTGGACTGCTTGGCATCTACAAGTCAGACCTAGACAGGATCGGAGGCATGAACACCAAGGAGTTCCGAGACCGCTGGGGTGGGGAAGACTGGGAGCTGCTGGACAGGTGACTGGGAGAGAGGGGCATCTGAGGGCTCTGCTCTGGGGAGGGAGTGGGGCAAGACCATCCTAGACCCAGCCACCTAGGCTGCAGGTTCCCCACAAGCAGGCGAAGGCATCGGACTTGGAGGAAGTTCTACCACTTACTGGGCTCCAGTTACTTCTCTTGCGGAGACTCAGTTTCTCTGTCTATAAAGGGGAGGATACTGCCTTTGTCTCTGTCACAAGGCTGGCATGGAAAGTGCTTGATGAACAGTCATGAGGTTAGCAAAAACTGACCTGTACAAATGTAAACGATAATTATCTGAGCAGCAAGCAAGTCACAGTGGGAGCACATGCTGCATCTCCAGGTCGGCACTCCCCTCCGACCCCCACCCCCGCAGCGGCCTGGGGAGGAGGATGAAGTTGGGGGATGGATAAGAGAGACAGGCCAAAGGGTCAGGAAAAACTTTTGAGCCAGCAAAAGAGGTCGTGTGGACCATTAAAGGTCAACAAGCCATCCATGAGGTCTGGGTCCCTGGAAGCCTGGGGAGAAGGGAGTTTCAGGGAGGAGGAAACAGTTGTGGGTATGGAAAACCTCAGAGAAGGACATGGCCAGGAGCTGGCTGGGCCGGGCCCCCAGGTCACAGGGGTTACAGAACTTGTGGGTGTGAGGAAGTGGAGGCTGCATTAGGATGAGATTCCTCTTTCAGGAAATTTGCTGCCAACAGAAGGGGAGGGAAAGAGGATGATACTTGGAGAGTTGAGCTTAAGGGGTGGGGGCAAAGGAGAGAGGGGGTAAAAATCCAAGTAAGAAAGGGTGTCATTGTAGGAACAGTGTCCAGGGGAGGGGGACAGGGCAAGGTCAGGAGCATTGGGCAGTGGGACTTGACAAGGAAGAGATGCACTGCTTCCTAAGGGCAAAATGCAGCCACCAGTCAGTGGGTGTCTGCCTATACTGGTAGGTGATTCACATCCATTTCTTCATTCAGTCCTCCCCAAACCTCTGTGAGGTAGGTGTAATTATCTCCATTTTTCCAGATGAGAAAACTGAGTCTTAATAACTTGCCCCAAATCTTGCAACTAGTAAGTGTCAGAGGCATAAATGCTGCATGTGTTTATGCCTTTTCCCTAGAGGAAAAAAGGAAAGGAAGATAATAATACTAAGAGTTTAAAGTGCAAAGGAGGAAGGTTGAGGGAGCTTCTATGAGATAGCCCCGGTCTCATAAAGCCAGATCCAAGTAGATCCCAAAGTGGACAGAAGCCTGGACTAGTGGCCACCTCCACCTGTGGTCTTCCTGCCCGGCCGGGAAGATGCAGACCCCGGTTCAGTTCTCAACCCTCCTTCCTCTACTGAAGCCCAAGGAGAAAGAAACTGCTTCGGATTCCAGTAACTTGCGCCCATGCCCCAAGTACAGGTCTCTCTGAGAGAGGGACTCCCCGTGGGCTGTGCATGTAGGAAAAGGACAGGGGAGGGCCAGGATGAGGTCTGCTCCAGCCTCTGTCTCCGTCAAACACAATGATGTGTCTCCTGCTGGCTGAGTGCCAGGCACTGTGCTAAGCACCTCTGTCTACCATCTCTCGTCTACCACCACCCTCGAGTGCCTGTATGTCATTATCCTCTTTCTAGATTAGTGAACTGAGGCTCTGAGAGATGATGTGACTTATATGGTGTGGAGCTGGGATTCAAACTCAGGCTGTCTGGCTCCAAAGCCCACACTCTGCACCACACCCCGCTCCTGCCTGTGGGGAACAAACAAGAAGACAGGGACGGGGCTGTTGTAGATGTGGCGCCTGGTTGCCTCCTGTGCTCTGTGGCTCATCCTGCCCCTCTCCCACTCAGGATCCTCCAAGCAGGCCTGGAAGTGGACCGTCTCTCCCTCAGGAACTTCTTCCATTACTTCCATTCCAAGCGAGGCATGTGGAATCGCCGCCAGATGAAGATGCCGTAATCCCAAGGGGTGGCCCACTGGACCGACCACTTCCTGCCCCTTGACTCGCGGCTGCTCCCCAGCACCCTGTGGACTGCTGGGGGAAGTGAGGTGGGGAGCAGAAGCCATGGCTGGGCCCCCAAGGCCTCAGCATAACATCCCCACTCCACTGGGAGCTGTCCCCTTGCAGACAGCTATCGAGGCCCCTCTCTCCATCCTCTGGGCCTGCAGACGGAAGACGGAAGACTTTGTGAAGGGCGGCTTGAGGGGCTGCTCGCTCACAGAGGCTGTGCAGTTAGGTCAGGGAGGGGAAGACCTGCTTGAGTGACACCATCCTACATCTTTGAGGTGCGTGCCAGCATCCACCCTGCGCTCCTCACAGGAACAGCGACCAGGAACTGGAAGCTCTTCTATTGGACATATTTTATTGGGGTTTTTTTTGTTGTTGTTGTTTTTTATCAACAAAGCAAACCTTAACTGTCCAAGACCCAGCATTGACTCCAAAAGGGGGATGGAGTGGTGCCTTTAGAGAGTGTCCCCACTTGCATACCTCAGACCCACTCCCGTGTAGAGCTGTGTCCCTCGGTCTGTGATCGGCAGCTGATTTATAACCAGAGGAGCTGGCCCCACGAGGAGCACGTCCTCTGCTCTACCCCCGGCCGTGCCTTGCAGAGACACGCACATCTCTCCCAGGTGGTCACCGAACTGCTGGCCACCAATTAGGGCATTAACCTTACCCTCCAGGCAGCGCTCACTTCAGGCCCATCAGAAGCATAGAACTGGCGTCCTCTTCCTGGTGCCACAGGGGTTGGGAGACGAGGAAGTGGTGGGCAGTGGGCTCACCCTGGTGTGGGGCATGTAGGCCAAGCAGGACAGGCAAGAAGGAGGAGGCAGAGGGGAAAGAGGATGTGGGTGTACTAAGTAAACCATGACGTAGATGAGAGGAGGGGCCGGAGTCAGTGGGAAGGGATGAAAAGGGAAGTGGGAAGCTTTGAGTCCTCGCAGCCCAGCTCCCCGGACTTGCTGTCCTGCAGGGAGAGCCCCAGCCGTGGCCTTGAGTGGAAGAAGAGGAAGGGGTGTGGGTGGAAGGGAACCATATAATGGACCAGGGTAGGAGGCAGCAGGGTGGCAGGTCTGGGGAGGTGAGGACGTGGTTCTGAGTTCTCTTCCCCAAGTGGAAGGGAGTAGGACTAAGAGGAACTGAAAAGTGAAGCAAGTTCAGGGAAAACAGCCCTCGGCCTTTATAGTCAAGGCCACCCTTTCTGTCACCTGATGATCACACACTTACCTTGCACTAATGATCCCCAGGTGCCTTTGTGGTGGGGATTTCTCTGCTGCTGCCGCCTCTGCCACTGCTGCTGAATTCACCGCTAGAGCAGTGGACACTGGACCCTGAGCTCTGCGGCTGTCTGGGAGGCCAGCACAGGGCTCCCTGCTGTGAGCAAGGGCTGATGGTGGTGTGGCAGGCCCAGGCAGCTGGCCCAAGCCCCCTGCTGGGATAGTCAGTCCCTTTGGAGGGTCTACTTAGTGGGCCCTGTATTCACCAAGAGCATAAACTTTGCATAGGGGAGATTGGAGCCTGTTGAGAACCCTCGGGCTTGAAGAGAATCCTTGCCTCCATCTTAAGAAATCAGGAAGCACAGGGCTTTTCAGTGACTCGGTGGCTTTTGGATGCCCATACCTGCCCTTGGGCTATGGCTCTTTAGGGTCCCTGCTCCCGCTCACTGCCTTTGGGCAAGGTCTGTAGGGTGTAGGCAGAGCTACAGATGGCCAGCTGTGGTGCTAGGTTTCTTTCTGGGGCCACACTCCTCATTGGGCATTCACTGGGAGGCCTGGGCCAGCCCAAACAGCCCTCCTGCTTCTCTTCTGGTAACAGGGCCAGCCCAGCCTCCCCTGCCCTGCCCACCACCCCCTGTGCTCCTGGCCAGTGCCTTGTGTTTGTTACCTCCACACCATCTGCCTTAAGGGGGAGGACCTGGCAAGGGCTCCTACTCTGTAGGGAAATGTCTAGGGTGGGGGAGGGACTGGGATGGTGGGGGGAAAGCATTAAATACTGCATCTTCTTAGAAAACAGAATGGCTCTTGCATTTTCCTGTTGCCCATCCTGGTGGGAGAGGGTTGGGCTGAGGGCCCCATGGTTCATGTCTCTGTCCTTTGGCCTCTGAAGGACGTGCCAAGGACCCTTCCACGCCACCCTCCACCCATTACCATTAGTGTGATGCCTGCTGTGTGGCAGACAGCCTGCTCTGTGCTGTGGTTTGCTCCTGGAGGGGACCACATTGGTCCTGTGTGAGGAGCTCACAGTCTGATAGACCAGGCATTTCTGTTTGGCAGGTTAATGGAGCTTGTGGTTTCAAAGGAGTGAGGCTGGTGGACACCCCAGGTGAATAAGTTAGAAAGAGGGCCAGAATGGTTTTGGGGAATAGTGGAGAGGAGCTGAGGTGTGGCTTATTCTAAAATAGCAGACAATTTAAAAATATTTTCTGCTTGAGCTGGGGATGCCCTATTGATGCTTTGCAGGTGCAGACTGACCTCCCCAGTTATATTTGGCGTAGGCATAAATCAAAGTTCATATTTCTCAAACACATGCCTAAGACAAGGTGCTGACATGAAAGCTAGAACAGGTTTAAAGGAGGTTTCGAAAGGAGTGTGCGTACATGTGTCAATCTAGAATTGACTAATCGGCCATTGGTGTAGCTGATGGTAATTGGCCCAAGGCATGTGGGGCCTGGAAAGTTGACTCCTAGCACAATCCAGAGGAGAGGGAGTGTTTAAAAGCCTTTTCTCATTCCAAGCTTGGAGTTTGATCCTTTGAGCCCTTTCCAGGACACAGATGGAGATAGCAGCTCAGATGCAGCTAAAAGCATAAAGGTTGACTTCAGTGGGTTTGCAGAAACTTTTATAGATAGAAATCATTCCATTTTACCTGGGAAAATAGGCCTGGGGATGGATGGGACGGAGGGAAGGAATGGAGTAAGTCAGAACCAGAGTCCTTAAGCTGGTGGAGTCAGCCTTGGGTCGACATGCCTCAGGTGCGGGTGCCACCAGGAGCAAAGGTTGGCACTATCCCACGCTGAGCTCAGGCCTGTGGACCAAGATGAAATTCACTTGGACCAGTAAACTATCCCATCTTCACTCAGGTGCTGTGGTAGGAAGCAGGCATCTACATTGCTCTTTCAGGAGCTCCCAGGGGAAGTGCTCATCAGCCTGGCAGATCAGGGAGGAAAGGGGCGGAAGCAGCTCCAGATCCGGTACCTGTGGGGAAGCCGAGAACAGGCGGTGAGGCAGTGCCCTCGATTCCCCTGCAGCCTTCAAAGATGCAGATGCTGACTCAGTAGAGCGGGAGTGGGCCCGAGATTCTACATTTCCAGCAAGCTTCCGGTGCTTTCGTTGCTGTTGGTTCATGGACCACAGTTTGAGTAGCCAGGACTGCTGGACAATGCCAAGGGGGAAATCCCACATCTCCATCTTGCCTCTTGCCGGAGGGGCAGAGCCAACCACTATCCACATTGCCTCCCACTCATCTCAGGAGATGGAAAAACCCGAGCCTAAACTAGAGGAGAAGAATCGTTAACAGCACTGGGGCCCTTTCTGAGTCCCCCTCCAAGCTCTTCTCCAGGATTCCCTCCTTGTCCCAGATCTACTTTCTCCTTTTGCGTGGCAGGGATTTCTCTCTTACCCTAAACCCCCAGAGGTGAGAAAAGGGCTGCCTGGGGGAGCCATTGGGCCTGAGGACCTCCCAGCTCCCCTCACCTGGGTTCCAAGCTGAATTCAGAGAGGATTCCTTGAGGTCCTGGCAGCCAGGAACCCTGTCTTATGTGCCCCGAAAGCTGTAATGAAGACATTGATGACAACAGTGATGAAGACCAAGATGGTGGCAGCATTGTTGAGCTGGTTTAATTGCCACTGCTTTTCCACCTCATTCAGGTTCAGCCGTGCTGTGGAGAAGTGGAGAGTGAGAGGTAAAAGTCAGGGTGGGGGCAACTGTCTGAAGCTTCCCTCACAAAACCCACTAGAGTTCAGAGGAAGTCTGGCAGCTCAGAGATCCATGTGGCAGAAGTCAAGGTGGTGTCATTGCATTGGACACCTCTTCCCTCACCTCCAGTGTGGGGGCATCCATGTGGTGCTTCATAGGATCGGGGTTTGGGAACTTACACCGGATCTTCTGAGTGGGGTGCATGCTCACACAGGTGATATGGGACTGCTACAAGTTAGTGAGGGCGTCACTCAGCAGTGTTGTGGAGTGGCCTCTGTATGGAACACCAAGAGGTAGGGCAGGGTGCCTCTCATCACTCTGTGGGTGTCACTTGGGCATTTGTAGGTGCAGAGGGCTTACACCAGGTTCGTGTATGGCTGAGAAGTAGGCACGTACAAAGCAGGGTGGTACAGGGAAGACACTTGGGGCTCATCTTCCCACTAGGGGGCACTGGGGCCAACTCCAGGCCTGGGCTCACCAATGACCACGAGGAGGATTCCGATGACGACCTGCAGGAGCAGAGAGATGCTGATGAGAGTGATGAGGGTAGCATAGTATTGAGAGGACGGCCCCTGCTCCAGCACCGTTTTCAGCCGCATGGCATTGGACATGAAGAGAGCCACGTCCAGCATGCTCTCTGCCACGCTCTTCTTGGTGGCATAATGGTTCAGGTTGATGGGCTGGCTCCTCCCGGGGTTGGGGTTCTCAGGCTGTAAGGGAGAAAGCACAGGTTTACCTGGGAGGCTCTAGAAGGGAAAGAAGAGAGAGTTACTAAAACTCACTCCTAACCAGGTGAGGGCAGGTAACACCCTGCTGAGTTTTATGGCCTGAAAGAAATCATGTTATGTTGTAATTTCTATTTCACAGTGGGTAGGGTTACCCACACCTTCACACATTCATCTGAAGGACGCCAGGAGGAGTCTCAGCTGCTCCTAAAATGTGCCTTACTCATTGTATGCTGCTTTACCTGGGCCAGGGCAGGCCCAGGGTCACTCTGTTTTCCTCTGAGAGCAACGCCTCTCGGAAGACAATAGCAGGAGGCTTGGGTGCAATAGGAAAGGCACCTCTTCTCCCAGGGTGCTGTGGCCCCAAGGCGGGTGCACAGCTGAGCAAAAGGATCCTGAGCTGAGTTCCGATCCCACTCAGCCCTCGGCACTGGGCCTCAGCTGTGCTCAGGCACTCTCGCTGGCTGTCAAACACGGGCCCAAATCAAAACACACCTCTATGTGTGCGTGCATGTATGCTAAAAGCCCTTTGTTTTTTACATTTGATTTGATTTTGAAATATAAAATAAAGCTCTTATCCTCAAGAAGTCACGAACGCCAAAAGATGGAGTTACAATGCAGGCACGTGGGCCGGACGTCTGGGCCGAGCCAGGAAATCCAGGCTGGGTGCTGCAGGCACGCTGCCGTCACTCGGGAGAACTTGGGGCATCCTGGGGAGACTTATTTAGGAGTGGTGCTTGGGATGATTGGCCCAGTAGGGCCCAGAAGCAGGAGACCTGTTAAAGGTATGGTATTGATTTAGGGTCAGGGTGACAAGGAACCGAACCTGAGTGGTGGTGAGAGGGAGAGCAAGGAAGGACTTAGAAGGAAGTTACAGCCCGGGGCAGGGAGCTCCCTCAGCAGATGACCGCAGCAGGATAGCTGTTGAGTGGGTGGGTGGATGGATGGGTAGACGGAGGGGGTATCCAAGGGTTCTGGATGCTCCTGGATGCTGGGCTTGTTCGGTTAGTGCCGGGGTGCCAAGGCCAATAGCCCACAATAACACCACAACTAAAACCTGTGGTCCTAGCCCATTTGGCAATGGTTCATTTTGGGTTCAAAGGACATATTAAGTGAGAGTCTGTGGAGCAGCCCAGCCCTCTCCACAATTCAAAGTGCTTCTGCCTGAGAGCTGCTTCCCCCCTTGGCTATGCCCACTCCCCCCACCCCCCACGCCCCCACCCCCATCCCACCATTCAGTTTGCCCAGTAGCTACAGGCTTTGCACTTGTTCCTTCTTCCAAACCCAGCTCTCGGTTCAAGATCTGATAAACTGTGAAATTACTGTGAAAGCTTCAAGGGAGAAGCCCCTTCTCTGAAATGTATATGAAAGTGGACAAAACCTTAAATTCAAATAGTGTGTGAAGGGGTGGGTATTTGGGGTTACAGATGTCCCCAGGCCTCAACAAAAAATATTGCCATTTGTAAGTTTTATGAGAACTTCTAGGCTTTTGTTATTAAGTTGATCTTAGAGCCTCATCCTTTCCGCTCTGATTTAGGGCCTGCTTTTATTTTTATTTGTGCCAGTTCAGGATTGCTCCATAACGGAGGATGCGTCTCAGCTACGGTGGTGGGAGGCTCTGCAGTGTGCCGCCCGCCCTAGCTCCTGAAGGCACCAGTTCTCCATAATGTCCACATGGTGTCGCGCTGCCTCCAAAGAAGTGACTTGGGCACCCAGGCTGCCCTGGTGGCGGGTGGTGTTTCTCCTCCCGAGGACTCCACTGACAGCCAGGCTCCTGTGAAACCTAGATTTCCTGGAGGCTCAAGACAGGGAGCCTGGTTCACAAGTCTGGATAGGCCAACCTACAGCCCATCAAACGGGTGTCCAATGAAAATTCAAGGATAAACCAGTACTCAGATGGGGCCAGGACTGGGTGGGGAACCAGTACTACCGGCCTTGGGACTGTGAGACCCTAGAAAAAGTTGCTTTGAAAGGGAGGGAAACAGTTTTCTTCATCCTTCTTGGTCAGTTTAGGTGCAGTCCTGCCCTGAGGCAGAGGGCTTACTGAAATGACCTGAGGGTCTTCTTTTATAGCCTGAGAATTCGATTGGATGAACCCCCAAATCCCACAAGGTGCCACTGCCCAGAAATTAGGAGCAACCCAACAAGGATTCAGGAGAGGACGGTAAGGGTGGCAGGCCGGGTGATGGGCAGGGTGGCCCCCTCTCCTGCTTCTAGGAGCTGGCCCTTTAAGGCTTAGGCCCAGGCAGCCTGAACAAAGGCCCGGGAATGTGGGCTGGGCCAGCTAGTGGAGCCACCCAGCCTGAGTCATTGGTATTTCACGGGACTAGGAATCGCTGCCTCGCCTGCTCCCTCCCCTGGCCCCTGCCCTCTCCCAGGGCTGAGGGGCAGCTCTGGAGCAGCCTGCAGTGCCCATCCGACAGCTTGCTGGGGCCTCCCCTCCCCTCAAACCCACTTGCTCTGCCCTAGTTCCCAGCCCCTTTCCTCTGGTTCCTCAGAGCAGGGGCTGGAGGGACAAGGACTTCTTTCTGGCTTCTGGGCCCAGATCTGCCTCTGGGCTTGGCACTTTGGGCCTCAGTTTCCACATCTATAAAACAGGAGGAAAAATCCCATCTCTGGAGGGGTGGAAGCTATAGAAAAACTGATGAGACTTTGATCTTCCTCAAAAGGAAAGACAGAACTGCAAGCTCTTCTAACTTTTTTTCCAGTCTGAGATCTAGCTCTCAATGCGTCTTATTCCATTCCACCGCACCCAACCCCCGTCCTGGAGGACAGCAGGTGGCCACACCAGAGACTCCAGTGTCCCTATTCCAGAAAGCAACCTCTTCAAATCCTGCCAACCAATGAATGACACCTGAACACCGAGGCGGGATTTTGGTTGATATGAGCTTGGAGCAGGGGCGGGTGTGGGGGAGGTGGGAGTAGATCTGGAGTTCCTTTCTGGAGCACATGGAGGTTCTGGGCAACAAGAGGCCTTGGGTTTGTGAGGCGGGTGGGGTGATGCAAGGGGGTTGGGGACATGGCAGACACCCTCCACCCGGTTCTCAGTCTGCCTTTCTTCCGGGCACCACCATTTCCCTCCCTCTGGTTCCAGCTCAGACCGCCCTGGGTAACAGCTCTCCTGCCAAGTCCCCGCTCCCCAGGTTGGTGTGGATTCCAGCTCTTGAAGTCATGGATTGCTCCATTGCTCATTCTTTATCTCTTAATCCTTGATGGCCTATATTATTTTTGTTTTTTTACAAAACTTGTTGCCTAGGAAAGGAATGCCTCTTTTAACAGAAAAGTAAACAAATTTTTCATTGTTTATTGACATTATGGGGACCACAGGCTCTGAGATATCATTCTGCATTTCTTGGAAACAAGATTTCAAAGGGGTAACTGTCCTACCAGAAGGCCGTGGGAACCACTGCTCAGAGTGTTTAGGACCTGGAGCCTGTGGTCGCAGTGAGTGGGTGCCCTGTGGGAAAGGAGCCGCCAGGAGGTGCGGGTTTGTGGCAGCCAGGAAAGTATCACGGAAGGCACCCTGGGCCCAGGTTCAAGTCCTGGTTCTGCTACAGAGTAGATGCATGAGCAAGCCTGGTCCCATCACTTGGGCTCCTTTTCTTATCTGTGAGACAAGGGAGGGGGGAGGGCGGGGTAAGTCGTTTCTTGGGTCATTCTAACAAAGAGTGATGTAGGGGTGGGGAAGCCCCTCCTCTGAGTGGAGAATTATCAGGGCCTGAGAGTATTTCCCTGAGAGAGGCAAAGGTCAGACAGCTGTAGAGCCAGGCCCAGGGGCAGGTCCAGTGAGTCACTTTGCCCCAGGGCATTGGTGACCCTCTAATGTGTCATTCGTGTCAGCCCCAAGAAAAGCCATATGGCAGTCTCCCTGTGTATCAATTCAAACTCAAGGCTATGAACAAAATAAGCTCAGGGGTGGCGGCCTCTTGACCCTTCTGTTGGTCTCAAACTGACTGACAATCCAGAAAAGCCAGGTCTCACCTGAAAAAGAGCTGTTGCCGAGCCAGAGCTTTGGCTGACTGGTTTTCCATAAAGGGCGGGCAGGTCCCAGCCCAGGAAGAGTATTGGTTGGGTAGCCTATTCTGCCAATTTGTTTTTAATTAGGTGCCCGAGATCCCTAATCCTCTGTCAGAATTAAGTTTGAAAGGGTACCTGGGTCTGTCATACTGTGCACACACACAGTAGGCTCATAGGACACTGGGAATGATAGTAGTTGCCACTTATGGAGTACATACCTTGTGCCTGGTATAAGGTTAAACACGGGACATGAGCCATTGAATCTAGTCCTCGTCAGCCCTGTGAAGTTGGTGTGGGGACATGATAATAATAGTTGGAAAAGCAGAGGCTCAGAGAGCCAACGTAACTTGCCCAAGTTCACACAGCACAGTTTTTGCCCCAATTCTCTGTGTGCCAGAGACTGTAATTTTAACCTCTACTCTGTTACCTCCCAGAAGTTGAAGACATACTCCCTGGCTCCCAGGAATTTAGGATCTAAAGATAAAAATGTATAGATGGACCCTAGCCAGTGGCTCAGTGGTTAGAGCATAAGCCAGTGAACCAAAGGGTCTGGGATTTGATTCCAAGTCAGGGGCATGTGCCTGAGCTTCGGGTTCATTCCCCTGTCTAGTCAGAGGCACGGGAGGCAACCAACTGATGTATCTCCCTCACATTGATGTTTCTCTCTCTGCTGCTCTCCCTCCCTCCCTCCCTTCCACTCTATCTAAAAAAGCAATGGAAGAATGTCCTTGGGTGAGGATTAACAAAAAATAAAATGAAATAAAAATCTAAAGATGAAAGAAGACAATTAAATAGTCCCATATGGACACATATATATACACTTGCTAAGAGGAGGTAAAACAACTCTACCTGAGTGGGGCTTGCATTAGGTTTCCCTGGATTTGCAGTGGGGTTGTGTTCTTGAGCCCCGGCACCCCTGTGGCTGAAAGGACACTATACCTGGAGCCAAAGGCTTAGGTTCAAACTGGTAGGAGGCAACCTGGGAGAACAGAGTTGAGACAAGAGAGACGTTTACCTGTATCTTTTGAATTCTGAACCATGTGAATGTTTGAACTAAAAAATACAAATTTAAAACAAAAACAAATGTGCACTCCCAAAAGGCCGATGGTTAAAATAAAGCAGAAGCTATAACTTGATCTTACCCAGGCCTTACCTTCTCCACCTGTGAACTGGGAATAATATCTGCTCTGTTTAGCACAAAGTGCTGTTAAAGAGATCAATGAGATAATGTGGGTGAAAGTACTTAAACAAATATGAAAGAAAAATCTCTCCCACTCAGGATTATACTCCCACCTGTGGGCCTTGGGGCGTTTTAAATAATGTGTTCTGATTCAGGGCTTGTCCCAGCCAAAATTTCGAAGGCACCTTTTGTCTTCTCAGCAACCCCCATGGTCTTTGAAATGTCTCTTCTCTACTCCATTAGGCACCTTCTCTTCTTACCTCTGTGAGTTTCAACTTGAAGCTGCACCAGGCTTATGTCTCAGAGAGGAAATTCTCAGAAAGCCCAGCTACACTGGGTCTCCATGCTCTCTGCCGTGCATTCCAGATGTTCCCAACGGCCTCCACCCACCGCTCTAGCTTGGATCCTCCTCCTCCCACGGGGGAGGGGGCAGAGGCTAACCCTCCTCAGGGCTCTCTTGTGCCAGGCTCCCTGATGCTCAGCAGTACTGGGTCACACCAGATTACTCACTGTTCCCTAACACACCCCATCCTTTGCTCCAGGACTTAAGGCCTCTCTTCTCCATGCTACCCGGCCTCAAGGAAGCCTCCCTCCCTTCTAGACCCTGTCCCCATTACCCTCCACCTAGGCCCTGTGCAAAGGCTGCCCTCTTTGTGCTGGCCTGGGCCTTGTTTAGACCTCTCTAGACGGCCCATCACTGCCTGCATTACTGCAGGGACTCCATCTTCCATATTCCCAGGTCCCACAGTGCTTGGCTCAGTGACTTGCCACAATAAATACATGATAGATGTTCGCCTGTTTAATTTGAGTTACTTCAAAGAGATTTTTCAAAAATCTTAAGGATCTTTAAGGATGGGATTTCAGGCACAATGGCTTCTGGGTGAGGGGAGTTGGATTCGGACAGTGAATCTTTGCCTTTAAAATAAAAGGCTGTGGCCCAGAGATAGCCCTTTCTCCCTGGTATCCTGCCTCTGGGAATGAATGACTCAGGCTGGAAGCTGTCCCTGGTCTTCAGGCCAAAACCTGCAAAGGCCCAGACCCTTGAGGCCTGTGTCTGGGGCAAGAGCTCTGACTGCATCCTTCCAGTGCCAAGACAGTGAATCTTGCCCTTAAAAATCAGCAGTCTCTTGGGTGGGGTGTCTTTTGCGTGCTATTCTGATGATAACACCAAACTGGCCTGGAAATTTCCTCCGAGCCCTGGGCACAGTCTTGCTGTGAGGCTCCAGCCCTTGCCCCAGCTGCAAACCCAGGCTTCACAGCTGCAGCACTGACAGGGCACATGGGAGCAGCCCGACTCTGGGAAAGTCTGCAGTGCCTCCGTCGTCCACTAGGGGCCCCCCCGCCAGAAAACAGCTCTGCAGGCCCTGGGTGAGCTCAACCTGCCAGGGGACAGGAACCCAAGTGCTTGGATCCATTTATGAATCCATGAGGTCGACAGGGTTTCTCTCTAACAAAAGGGGGCTACATATAAACGGAAACAGGGTGTGCAGAAGAGACGGGAAGGCTTAGGGATTGCGATAGGAAACCCATGGGACCTGCTTGCTCTTCCTTAGGAAGCATTTTCCACCTCCCCTGCAAGAGGTCACCATGTCAGTGGCTTTCAGGAAACACTCATTTGTTAGGGTCCAAAGTTAATCATGGGTTTTGTTACATAGAAATTTCCAAAGAATTTTTCTGCTCTCTCCCAATACACACCTTAAACAAGAGTACTTTCCGAATTAGCACCTTGCTCCTGGGTGTTTTTGCTCTAGGCCCCACTTTGGGGCTCCCAGTGCATTCCCCAAGCCCACTCAGACCATCTGTGCTCATTGTAATCTGACTCCTCTTTCAAGGGCCAACAAATTGAGCGAAAATTTAAAAAACAGAACCTAAATAAAGATAATGCTGTGTGTCAGCTTCCCCTCCCCCATGAAGTGGGTACTAATTGCCCCATTTTACCAGTGAAGACGCTGAGTTTCAAAGAGATTACCTGCTCAAAGTCACCAGATACCAGGGGGTGGTCCCAGTGTCAAAATCCTAAACCTATATCTTTCTTCTGTTTACCAATAGTTCTTACATTGTGTCCCAGAAGCAGCAGCAGCAACAGCATCACCTGGGAACTTATTAGAAACGCAAATTCTCAGGTTCCACCCTAGACCTATTGATTTAGAAATGGGTGGAACCCAGCCATCCGTGTTTTAACAACCCCTCCATGTGGTTCTAATGCAAGCTCAAGTTTGAGGGCCATTGGTCTACACCAGTGGTCGGCAAACCGCGGCTCGCGAGCCACATGCGGCTCTTTGGCCCCTTGAGTGTGGCTCTTCCACAAAACACCATGTTTTTAGCAAAGGCCAGCTTAGGAGTACCCTAATTAAGTTAGTAACAATGTACCTACCTATATAGTTTAAGTTTAAAAAATTTGGCTCTCAAAAGAAATTTCAATCGTTGTACTGTTGATATTTGGCTCTGTTGACTAATGAGTTTGCCGACCACTGGTCTACACCATGCTGCCAAACTGCTTACTATCTTCTAAGCTCAGTGCTAGACATAGTCATATGGATTTTGTCATTGAATTATTGTAACAACACCTACTTTACAGATGAGAAAATCGAGGCAAAGAAAAATTCAGTAATTTTGCCCAGGATCACCTAGCTGTTAAGTATTAGAGCTGTGATTTGGACCCAGGCAGGCTCTGGAGTCTGCGTCCTTAACCACACCGCCATCCAGTCCCTGGAAGCACAGGCTGCGTAAACTCGCAGGTGGACACCAGTTGGAAGTATGCTTAGGTAACCTACCTAGAGCTGTCTGCTGAACAGTTTCAGTAGTTTGCACAAGCAGCCAGCCTGCTCCAGCAGCTCGTCTCCCCAGTGCCTATGGCTGCCCAGCCGCTGATCATGGGCCTGTTTATAAGAGTCTGATACATTTATCTTAGATCTTCCTCATGTCTTTACTCAGAAACATTTACCGAGTCTTTTTTTATTCTATAGAACCTTAGATTTTGTGGTGAAACCCAAATCCAGATAGGAGGCCTAAACACAGGGAACTAAAAATGACTTTCAGAACAAGTAATCATAACACAAAATATCAACATTCTACATAATGGTGTGTATGAGTTTCGTATGTCCCCACTAGATTATACGTCTCCAAAAGGCAAGAATTATTTCCTTGGAATTTCAGACAATTAGAATAAGAAGCAATAAGAACTGTTTCTATAATCTCTGGCTACAGTCCAGGTGAGGAGACCTCATAAAATAGTTCCTATCACACTGAGCTGGGAAAAAAAAGGGAAGGTGGTGAATTTCCCACTCCACCCAGCCCCGTGGAGAGCCTGCCAAGATTGCTACTCAGTTCAGTTCAACAAATATGTTTTTAGTTCCTATCATGTGCTACACATTTAAGGTACAACAAAGATCCCTGCCTTCCCTATATCCCTGATCCCCTAAACCCCTACAATGACAGGCTTAGCAGAGAACAAAGTGGATAAAGAGGGAAGCCAGGAGATAAAAAGGCCTTTTCAATCCTATCCTGGTAGATAAACTTCACAGGAACAAGGACTTTATCTGTCCTGTTCACTGCCAAATCCCAGAGCCTGGCACCTAGCCTGGCATGCTGAATGAATGAATGAATGAATGAATGATGCATTTGTCACCCCCTGTATTTGTTCAGAAAGGGCTTAAGAGGCAGGACCATGATGAGCTGTGCTCCGTGGTCCTCTTATATGGAGCCCTCTGGGGGTGCCAGTAAATGGCTGTCTCACATGGGCATGTGGACTCCCAACTCCCTTCAGTACTTCAGCACAGCATTAGTGTGTGTGTGTGTGTGTGTGTGTGTGTGTGCTTCCTTGTGGTTGGTAGTGTCTGGGTCCTGGCATAGATGAGACAGGCTGTAGATGAGGAAGAGAAACTGCTACGCTTATTGGAAGAAGCCCAGCTGCAGCTCCAGGGGCAGTGAAATCAAGATAGAGAGGAGTCCGTCCCCAGATCAAAGCCAGGGGGAAACAGCCCCCAACGGCTGGCCAGCTCCACGGCAGATGTCCCCTGCTGGCTTTAGCCAGTCCAGTGAGGCCTGGGCTCAGAAGCAGCCAGGATTGCTGCAGCCCCAGCCCCAGCCCCAAGGGTCCCCTATTCTCCCCGTCCTGGCCCAGCAGATCCCTCCTGGTTCTCACACCCACTCTCGCTCCCTTCCTCAGGACTTAAAAGCAGCAGTGAAGTGCAGGATCCCACGTTCTCCCAGCCCCAACGCCTGCACTCTGAGCAGCAGCTCTGATGCCCTGGGCCAGGGTCTGGGGAAATAAAGGTTGAGTGAATGGCTGGCGTTGCGCTTGGAGTGAAGGGGTCTGAACTGAGTCTGGCTCCCATTTCTGCTCTCGGGGCCTTCGGTCATGCAGCCTCTGTGCTTCTCAGCTTCCTCTTTTGTAAAATGGAAGGACACCACCCCTCCCCCCTCACTGCCAGAAGCTGGCGTATGGTCTGGTCCATACACACAAAGGGATGCCGAACTCTCTAGAAAGCAACCCACAGCGGATTGCTGCTGAACATGTCCGACAGCCCACACTCGAATTCTTCCAGACTTACAGCCTCTTTTATGCAGTATTTACCACCTGCCAGCACCAGGGGAACCGTAGGGTCAGAGAGATTAAATAACTTGCCTGAGGGCATACAGCTAGTGATAGGGGACTCGATATTTGAACCCAGGTATGTCTGAGGCCAGAGCACAAACTCTTAACCACTGCGCTGTTTTGCAAGCCCCTGTTTAGCTCTTGTTTTTTACCCTCTTCCTGGAAGGTCAGAGCCCTGAGGAAATCCTTCCTCTTGCCTAACACAATACCTGACCAGAGAGGCAGGCAGACTAGTCCTGCCTCAGCCACTGGCCCCAAACTAGACTGGAAGCACCTTTTCTGCAGCCCAGGCAATGCCCCGGGGCAACAAAGCACTTGCTGGTCCCTGCTGTGTCCTTACTCCCTTTCTAAAAATACAAAGAGCATGAGCCCTCCAAGGCCTCCAAACAGATATCCAGTTGCTCTCTGGGGTCAGCCAGATCCTGGCACCTGGCAGCAGCTCCCTCCGGGCCCCCTGCCTGACAGCTGACCCCTGCTGTCCCCGTGACTATTTACTACAAGGCAAAGTGCAGTTCTGCAGAGGTGGGAACTCCCGAGCTGCCGGCCTGGCCCAGCCTCACCCATGGCAAACTAGGGGACCCCCTAAGCCCAATCAGAGCAGACACTTCTTTGCTGGGCTTCATTCCTACGACCATAAAACGCAGGCCTCCATCTTTCCAGCTCTTTGGAGTTTGAGCAGCAGCCTGGTTCAGGGGTATGGACACTCAGTTCCAGCACTACCCCCAATAGCTGTGTGACCTGGGACCTCTATTAGCTACCTAGTCAAATGGGAATAATATCACAAAAGCAGTGATAGTATATCATCCTAC